ATCAAGGTAGCGAAAGTATTACAGTAATAAGAGGTGGCATTGAACTCAGAAGGTGCAGGGCCTGAATTCCAAAATTCCATTAATCGCACATTCCATTCACTTAAATATTTACCACAACTTACGAGAGTGGATCTAAAAGAAAGGCGGCGAGTTAAGAAACTCTTCTTAACCTACGAACAAGAGGAACAACATGACATTCTTTAGTGTCGACATTACAGCGTGCTAGATTGCACGTCACTCATCTGATAGCTGGCCAAAAATTGCAATAATGTACAAATTGCTATTTCCTTTGCAATCCAGAATTTTCCTCGGTTTTAAAGAATTAATAAGCTAATGCGAGATACTAATGTTTAGTTGAGTATCGCAGTCCCGTCAGCAAGAAAAACTTAAATGAATAAATGAAACACCCTCGAATAAATTTCGTGTCATTTAAAGTTGTCGTCCATCAGTGCAGCACAGCACGTATCGCTTGTCTAGTCCCCAGTGATTTCTGGAGGCCATCGTTTCTCGACTGAAAGACGGACAGGGTTAATTTTGAAAGTTTAAAATGTGTACTTGTAGCCCATGCTGCTGGATAAGTACTTTTTTGCCAACAACTTTGACAATGCTTGTCCACTCCGTGCAAAGTTCATATCCTATGCCTCTTTGGTTCGTCGGTCCCGCCAGTTTCTTTCTTTGATGATGCCCATTGGGGGACGTAATCGCATTTTCAGTATCCTTTAACGGAAGAAGGCGTTGTTTGCCCAATCTGTATCTGATCTAAAATTTTTTATCTATGATATTTCCTAATTTTGACATATAGCGCATAAATACAGTATAGTTCAAAATCAATATAATAAAATATTCAATAGTTGATAATAACCTTATTGAAGTCGTACCGGAAAGAAAAGCACATCAATTTGAACCAAAGGAAAACGCGCTAATATTAAAGACGGTGAATACACATCGATCGCTGCTTGCACGCGGAACAACGAAACAACCCGCAGCGAAAAATATGAATTCAATGGTGCGTATAATAATTGATGACATACTTCTCGAGAAAGTCTATAGCCAGAACTGTAATAATGACTCACCAGTCACTGTAACCCCCATTACTGAGTTTTAGAATCAGTCGAACCAACTTCTTCCTCGATTTTTTCTTCCTGAACCTAGAATGTGAACAAACCTTTTGGCTAGGTGCCGATTCATTGCACCAATAATCGTTTATCAAGAATGATATTGAATGAAAAAATATGATAATGAAGTGCCATCAACGTTAGTGAATGGCGTGTAACGCTGAACATCCTAC